GTATGCCAGCCTGTATCCTTACTATGCCAGTTGTATACCAGTCTGTATCATTTAAGTACTGTAAATTCAGAAATTATTGCGTGCATTTCTTATTGCGATTTCGCCATTTTAGACTAAAATGCGATTTTAATTTTTGCGATATTGTGAAAAATCCTATTTAATTCATATTAAAAAATTTAAAATGCAAGTTTAAATTATTGCGATTATAACCCTGTCGCATTTTTCGCAAAAATAAAAACATCGCAATAATTTCTGAATTTACAGTATTATATGTATGCCAGCCTGTATCCGTATTGTTTCAGATGTTTGCCAACCTGTAATATTAACCTATCAGATGTATGCCAGCCTGTATCCTTAATGTATCAGATGTATGCCAGCCTGTATCCTTGCTATATCAGATATTTGCCAGCCTGTATCCATGTATCCAAGGGGCCTCGGTGGCCGAGTGGTCTAAGTAGTTACTACTGTAATCACTAGCCAGTCAACACTGAGGTTGTGAGTTCGAACCCCGCTCGTGCGGTGCACTCGACTCCAATCTTAATTGACTAGGATTGTCAGTTTTCCTATCGAAGGTCGGTGGTTTTCTCTGGGCACTCCGGCTTCCTCCACCAATAAAAACTGGCCGCCACGAAATAGCCCAAAAGCGGTGCTTAAAAGAGGCGTTAAAACACCAAAAATCAAAATCAAATCCATGTATCCAATGTTTGGCAACCTGTATCCTTACTTTATATCAGATGTATGCTGGTCTGTATCCTTAATGTATGCAATGTATACCAGCCTGTATCCTTACAGTATATCAGATGTATGCCAGCCTGTATCCTTACTATATCAGATGTATGCCAGCCTGTATCCTTAATGTATCCAATGTATGGCAACCTGTATCCTTACTATATCAGATATCTCTGCAAGCCTTATCCTTCATGTATCAGATGTATGCCAGCCTGTATACAAAAATACTATATCAGATGTTACATAATCCCAGTCTGTATCCTTATGTATCAGATGTATGCCAGTCTGTATCCTTCATGTATCAGATGTATGCCAGCCTGTATCCTTACTATATCAGATATATACCAGCCAGCTGCACCCAAGCTATATGAGATGTATGACAGCCTGTATCTTAATGTATCAGATTTATGCCAGCCTGTATCCTTACTATATAAGATGTATGCCAGCCTGTATCCTTAATGTATCAGATGTATGCCAGCCTGTATCCTTAATGTATCAGATGTATGCCAGTCTGTATCCTTAATAGATCAGATTTAGCACAGCTTATATCCTTAATGTATCAGATGAATGCAACTTTGTATCTTTTTCATATCAGATTAATTTTTATTTCAGAATGGACCGAGAGTCATACACTTTGAGAATGGCTCCGTTGTAGATGACCCGGACGGGGTAGTTGACAGTTCCACTGTGTTCCTGCAGCAATTACAGGCCTCCTACCCAGAGCTTGTAAAAGAGTACCATTATTTGAGGATGTGACCGCAGACGGTCTCCAATTTGTTTTTATTTCAGAATGGACCAAGAGATCTTAAGTCATACACTTTGAGAATGGCTCCGTTGTAGATGACCCGGACGGGGTAGTTGACAGTTCCACTGTGTCCCTGCAGCTATTACAGGCCTCCTACCCAGAGCTTGTAAAAGAGTACCATTACTTGAGGATGTGACTGCAGATGGCCTCCAATTTGTTTTTATTTCAGAATGAACCAAATTGGGTATTTAGAGGATGTGACTGTTTGTATTTTTTGCAGGATCTACAAACCGAACTTTTAATTTCATTCTTGAAGGATTTAAATCTATTTAGTAGTTACTTATTCCTTAATGTATTATATGTATGTATCAGATGTGTTTCGTCCTGTATCCTTAAGGGAGCTACCATTTGATTTTTATGGGAGGGGGGGTGGGGGGGGATGACAATTTAGGTAAAAAAAGGCAGGAACGAATAGAGTGGAAATAAAAAGGCAGGACAGAAATTACAACTAAAAAAAATGCAGGACAAAATTTTTAATCCTAGCCCCCCCATAAAAATCAAATGGTAGCTCCCTAACATATCAGATTTATTTCAGCTTATATCCTTAATGTATCAGATGTATGCTAGCGCGCATCTGTATAGAAGCACATATATTTTTTCATTCAAGGACGTCTAAAGCAAAATGAATGGTTTAAAAAAAAAGATGATAAATAGATTAGAGATTTATACTCATTTATATTTGGTATTTGCCACTGGACGTTAAGCAACCAACAATCATTTATATTTGGGAAATTGCAGCTTTGAAAGTTGGCATTTGACACAACCTGTTAAACTACAAAAAAAGCTGTGTGGATATACATAATACATCATTGGTCAATTAGACAGCAACCCAACGTCACAAAAAAAAAAGAATATCAACATAAAAAATTATGGTCTCCAACAATCAACAATTTAAAAAAAAGTGTCTTATACAATATGTCGACAAGAGCTTTGAACACTAATCTAGAAAAAGTGAATTAATTTAGCTGAGACTATCAATATTCCATATTCAACAAATTGCTAAATAAAGAAAAAAGTTTTCAGTTTTCAGGTACATGTTAAACTCTATTTGGATGTCGGGTAATAATTTGTTAATGGTGAATAATAAGCAATTAAATAAAATCGAGATATTTTTTGGTGTTAATGGCCATAATTAATTACCTTATATAAAGGGGAATATATGCACTACATTATAAATTGACAGAAAAATATTTTTATTCAAGGGTAAATGTAATAATGCAAATAAATATCAGATAATAAATTCAGAAATACATCTTAACTTACTAGCCATTTCTATACTAACATTTAACCACCAATCTAACAGACCTAACATTTTTTCTTTATCATTGGTATATGTCTAAACTTCATTGGTCATTTCTAAGTTGTGTTTACGTTTTCTTGCTATTTTGCTGGTTTGAATGGTTTCATATACATGTATTTGATAGTTGAAATGTTGTCTATAGTTTTTATAGAGTTTCTTAGTTATGTATTTCTGAAGTTTATTTATATGATGTTTTAAGTTTTTAAAAAGTTTTTTCTATGGGGTCTCATTTGATTCAGTAACAATTTGAATTTTTTCGTAATTATTTCAAAATTAATTTTATCAAAATTATATAACCATTGTAGTGCATATTATTCATTACAAAAAGTCCAGGCTAGCGTTTCACAAAGAATCGTACGATTTACGTTTACGATCAAACTTACGATAAAATTCTACTTACGATTATTTATGAAACGGTCAAAAACTTGCGATTTGACGTAAGATCTAAGATTGTTGTACGATTTTTTGTGAAACGATGGCCAGATCCTTATTGTCCATATTTGTCTTTTATCATTTATGTTATTTAGAGAATTTTGTGTTGATAGCAGCTCTTTAATGGTTTCTGTTTAAATGTATTCTCAAATTTTAGATATTCAATTCTTAAATTAAAGCAGATTAAAAAAAAACGTCGTTAGATTATTTGTAAAAGTTAATATTTTTGTGTAAGATTTCCTTCTCTTCATGATCATTTAAGAATTGCTTGGAGTATGCATTTTGACATATTATAGAATTTAAAATTATACTAAAAAAATATAGAGAAACATGATCAAGAATAGAAGTTTTTTCTAAAATTGAGCAGATAGTAAATTTTTTTCTGGTTAGAAATGCACTGTTAAATTTGAACTCCATGTTGTTTAAATTCACGGTTTATTTTGCATGGTTATGGTTTTCTCCTAAAAACATATTCTGATCCCCAATTTGATGAAAAAAAATATTGTCAAGCAGATGACAAAAAAAAAATATTCTGAATCCAGTTTTTCCCAATATTAATGTTAAATTTTGAAGTAAAAGTATAAAACTAAATGAAAAAAAACACCAAAAGAACAACCAAAAAACCCCCAAAATTTCATAAGTTAAATAGTAGTAAAAAATAATTTTGTTAATATAAACAAAACACTGCTAGTCATTTTATGGTGCAACAGTTCTTGGAACATTTTAATATCTTGTCCTTTTAATGCAATGCAATTATGTGCAAGTGGTAGAGTTTTCTTACCTGACCACACAATTTATTATTGTATTTTGTATTATTATTTTTGGACCTAATGGTTGTGTTCTAGCTGACTTTGAAGCTTTGTAAGGCAAGGGTAAAATATTCATTTTAGTGCCAATCGAGAGTGTGGTTTATATTTGGGATGGAGGGAAAACTTCAAAGAATTTTAATAGGTATCATAAAATAATATTTTAATTGGGCAATAAATAAAGTACAACAAATCTGAGAATAAAATAACACAAAGAAAGATGTGAGTGAAAAATGAATTGTCCATTCCTCGATAGGTTTTCACCTAACATTTATGTGCAGAAATTTAGAATATATTAAAAAGAGAAATAAATTGAAGAAAAGAAAACTTTACAACAGAGTATAAATTGCCAAATACAAATAAAGTTAAAAGGGGGGAGGTGGTATTTAGAGGCAATACCCAAACCCCTTATTAATATAAAATTTTATTCAAATGGGGAAACCCAAGGGTTCAGTGGGATATGTGGTCATCTGGACTTCTCCCCTCCAGCGGTAAATCTTAATATTTGAAGGGGATCTGTTTTTGTTGCAATGGAATATTAATATGCAGTCACATCCGATTTGATTGTGAAGTAGGAGATTGTTCTCTGCACATTAAAGAACCCTGGCAACAACTCTGAGGGGTATGTAGCTTGCCTGTTGCAAGACAGAATTTCTGCCTCCAAGTTTCCCCTTTTTTCAATGGTAGTTTAAATCTTATACCTTTCATCCTGGTTTACCAATTTTGCAAAAGGTACCTACTGGAATTAATGTCCTGAATATGCATAAAATATTTGCAAGTGGACATCAACCGACTGCAACGAGTTGGAATGGAATATTATGATGGTTATCCAAGCAAGAGATCTCCATGACGAGAGCAAAGGCCTGAGTGAACATTAAAGAGATTAAATTATATTAGATTATTCCCAGTAATGCATTGCTAACTGATAAGGTAAAAGAGCAGAACAAATTAAAGTAATATCTTTTAAACATTTAAATTGAACTTTTTGCATGTCATATTTAGTCATCTTTTTGCAGATTTGCCATTTAATGGATTATGAAAAATTATGTGCGTGGTGAAGTATGTTTCATTTACAAATGTTGATCCATTCTTTTTGAGATGCCAAGATTAAACAAAAAGGTTAATTCGATGTTGCTGCAGGACTTGGAAAATTGATACTGTTTTATCTCAAAAGTGCCATTTCATGATAATAATGAGCAGGGTTTAAGCTAGGATTTTGAGAGCTTGTCACTTTTCAATCACTGATAATGAGAAGTGTGAATGAAATATTTCAGAGTTAAGTTATAGGAATTAAATTTTAAATTATTATTAAAATTAGATTATATGCATTTCTAATTATATCATTTGTTTTAACTTTTAAGCATATTTTTCTAATTTTTTTTTTCAGGATGAAAATAGCAAACAGGAAGTTTTCAAGAGATTGTTACCTCAAATCTGAAGTGGTTCAATGCAAAACACGAGGTAATCTTTTCTTAAATTTAAAAACAAATACTTTAGAAGGTTGATTTATAATGGTCAATGCATCAATAAGACCCAGTCATCTATCTGGCTGGGACCTTAGAAAACTCATAATTTTTGTCGAGCCTGCGACTTTTGTCGCAGAAAGCTCGACATAGGGATAGTGATCCGGCGGCGGTGTTAGCTAACTTCTTAAAAGCTTTATATTTTAGAAGGTGGAAGACCTGGATGCTTCATACTTTGTATATGGATGCCTCTTGTTACGAAGTTTCCGTCAGTCACATCACCAATGTCCTTGACCTCATTTTCATGGTTCAGTGACTACTTGAAAAAAAAGTTAACATTTTTTGTAATGTTAAATTCTCTCATTATAAGTAGTAGGATAACTATATTTGGTATGTGCCTACCTTGCAAGGTCTTCATGCCCGTCAGACAGTTTTCACTTGACCTCGACCTCATTTCATGGATCAGTGAACAAGGTTAAGTTTTGGTGGTCAAGTCCATATCTCAGATACTATAAGCAATAGGTCAAGTATATTCGGTGTATGGAAGGACTGTAAGGTGTACATGTCCAACTGGCAGGTGTCATCTGACCTTGACCTCATTTTCATGGTTCAGTGGTTATAGTTAAGTTTTTGTGTTTTGGTCTATTTTTCTAATACTGTATGCAATAGGTCAACTATATTTGGTGTATGGAAATATTTTATGATTTATATGTCAGTCGCGCAGGTTTTATTTGACCTTGACCTCGTTTTCACAGTTCATTGCTCAGTGTTAAGTTTTTGTGTTTTGGTCTATTTTTCTTAAACGATAAGCAATAGGTCAACTATATTTGTTGTATGGAAGAATTGTTAGCTGTACATGCCTGCCTGGCATGGTTCATCTGACCTTGACCTCATTTTCATGGTTCATTGGTCAATGTTTAGTTTTCTTGTTTAGTTAAGTTTATGTGACAGTTGTAATAAAGCTTTATATTTAGGACTATCAGCATAATATCAATGATTAGTAAAGAAGGCGAGACATTTCAGCGTGTGCACTCTTGTTACTATATTGAGAAAATGCATAAGGAAAAAAATCCAATAAGAATAATGGATGCAATATTCTAGGGATATTGTTCTTGTTTCAAAAATTATCTTTAGAACACTGTTGCAGTTAATGAAGGCTGATTTTTAAGTGGCTGCTCAGATTGGATAACTTTAACAGAAAATAAAATCCAGAATAGAAATGAGTAATATACTTATTAATATTCTAATGCTACCAATTAGAAGTTGAAGAAATATAAGTATCTCAGAACAGTAAAACATTTTGATAATTTATTTTTTTCAGCTTCATTCAATGCTGGCCCTGCATGGTATTCACAAAGTGCCTTTATTAGATGAAAACTTAATGGGAATAAATTTACCTAATGTTTAGGTAAGTCAGCATTATTACAAAAACACTACACAAATGCATTGTTAAGAGACTGGTTGTATTCCTGTATAAAATTTCCTTGTTAAAGCATTCAGATGAGTTATTGGCCTTATTTCTACCAGTTTATATATTTTTATAGCTTCAAAACTAGACATGACAGGACTCATTGCTCAGAGAATTTTTTTCATTAATAACTCTATCAATGTGAAGATATACTAATTATGTAAAAATGTGTGCATCACACAATCATACTGAGGAAAGGGGGGGAAATGCATTGCTGAAAATTATTTCAAGGGAGATAGTTATATAGAGATTTTTTTCTTCAGGACTAATTTATAAATACAATATCATATCATCATCAAATCAGATTTGCAAATAGGGCTGAAATAACATTCAGATCTTACTGTAAGATTCATTTTTTTATGCAAAAACCACAGAATGGTCAAGTTTTACCATTTGAAACTTTTTCGTCGTCTTAAAACCAATTATTTGCCACCTGGCTTGCATTGTAAACGGATATTCAATCTTGGGACACCAAATGGTATAAAAAATAAAGAACTTAGCAGCAAAACATAATCCTAACTGTCAATGATTAACCTGATTATGAAGAATAAATATTGTGACACAGAAAAACTGTTTCTCCTTTTTATTTTCAAGAACCTTGTGATAAAACTTATCATTCCATTTGTAGGTAATGTTTGATGCATCCAATTGTGGATATTTTGAAAAAAAGGTGAAAATGAAGGAAGGACATCAACACACACAAACTTTTTTATTTATTGATTATAAAATTGAGGATTATAGAGTCAAATATAATTTTAAAATATGAAATGTGTGAAAGGCAAAGAGAGAGTCAGCTAGGTTTTGTGAAGATTATTTTTTCTCATTTTAAAGCTCACTGCTTATCTTCAATGTTTGATTAAAAATTTTTTTTTTTCTTCAAAATTCATTGTTAAAATGTGAGATAGTTAGAATATTCATTTGTAAAGATTTATTCTGTTTCAACCTTAAAGCTCATAATATTGTTTCCATTTTTTACGAGCTGTTTGACTGATAGACGGTCACTGCTATTTTTTGTTTCTATGTAAAAGTCTATTCTTTTTCAGCAAAACAGCAGGTTCTTCTTTATAACTTTTTGTATTGAAATAATCAAGCACCTACCAATTTGTTAAATTGGATAAATCTTGGATGAGTATTACATTATGTATTGAAAACTGTATTTTTAAAAAGGATACACTAAAAATATTACATACTAAAAAATTTAAATCATAAATTTTCATTTTATATCTAAATTATCAAAATTTGCCATTTTGTAGAGCTAATAGTAAAGAAATAATGTAAACAAAAGATAAGAAAAAAAAAAAGAAAAAAGAAAAAACTGTAAACTAGGTTCTAGGAAATGGCAGTATGGGATTTCTGAAATTTATAAGTTGTATTGGATCGAAAAGTATTCTTACAACTTAATACATCTGGTGTGTGTGAGGGAGATAAAGATATTTTGTGGAGGTTTATTTTCTTTCAGCCAAACAGCAGGCACTTCTTACAACTTTTTGTAGACTGGTCTCAAACAAGTTGCCAAAATTAACCTGTCATTTGGTTTAGATAAGATAAATCTGGAAGCGGAAGATAGTGTTTTGAGATGCTACTTTTTCTTTGATTTGTTTTATGGCTTGAATCTATGAACAAAGAATATACACTTGAATATGACATGGATCAAAATTTAATAAATCAGCTCTCATTGTTTTAAACATCACAGTCTTGTTCTATTCTATGCGTATCTATGTCATTTGTTAACCCCTTCAACACAGAAAGCAAAATCCATGTGATGAATGAGGAGCTAATAGGTTGAAGTTTATGGCAAGGGGAGGGAATACCTATTTACCTCCTTATTCTGGTCGCTTCCTTTGGTGAAAGGTAATTAATTAGACATTAATAGGAGCACACCAGATGTAATCAAAATTTGCCATTTTGTAGAGCTTAGTAAAAACTGTAAACTAAGTTATTGGAAATAGCAGTATGGGTTGGTTTGAAATTTAATGATATCTTTTGGATATTAAATTCTTCTTTTTATATTTTAAATTCATCTGATTTGCGTATTTGATAGAGAGATAGAACAAGACTTTGTGAAGGTTTATTCTGTTTCAATCTAACAGCAGGTGCTTCTTTCATCTAATTGTAGTCATCTCTTATGACCAATTTTCAATAAAACTACTAAAACCTGCCATTGGATTAAGATTGGATGAATCTAGAAGGAGGGTAAAGTATTTCGAATTTGATTACCAGTACTTAAAAAAATAATTACATTATTTCTTAATTTTCAATATTTGGAGTAAGAGCATGATATTTTAATAACAAAACATTCATGTTATTTTTTTTTTTGCGTTTTGTGTATGGTTATTGAAATAATAATATTTCTTAATAAAAGTTTATATTGAAAATCAGCAATGATGGCTTCTTGTCCTAGTATTATATCCCTCCTCGAGGAGTTAAGGCTATATTGCATTCACCTTGTCAGTCTGTCCCTTTGTCTGCCCGTTTGTCCAGCAAATATTTTCCGTCACATTTTTTTCAGGTACTGCTGAACAGGATGACTACCATTTTGGTCAAAGCTTGACAGTGATGAGTTAAAACATGTGAGAGCTTTTCAGATCTGTGAGGTACCTACTTTCTGATTATGGGGAACCACTACTAGTGATAGGTCATATTTGGTATTCAGTTGTATCAGCATTGGCACATCTCATTTCCATGGAGATTATATGGCCCCGTCCCCTCGGCCATTGTCTACTGACTTTGAAACTTTTGCTTGGTTTTCATGTATAAGTTTGTGATTAGGTCAGTTTATGGGTAACAACTAGTGGTAGGTCAATGATAATTAGTATGTTGTATTAGCATTGGCACATCTTATTTCCATGGAGAATGTTTGGTCCTGTGCCTTCAGTCATGGTTCATTGACTGAATATTTTGCATAACTTGCATGTTAAAGTTTTGCTAGTTAAATATCATTTGCATTTTACTAGCAAACTAACAAAAAGGCGAGGCATATCTCTGTGTTAACAGTTTATGATAATGTTCATGTATGATGCTCAGAAGTATTTATAAGATCCCTTATATTATAGTAGGTCACTTTTTATGAGAGGTATTTAACTGTTGAGCTTGCATTTTAGACATTTTTGTTTGTTCATATTAAGGCTATTGAATAATGATTTGTTCTATCTCAATTTACATCTGATGGAACCAGTCACTAGCCTTTCAACTTTGATCCAAATCTGAAACCTGATCATTGCGAGGGTTCAACTCAGATCTTGATTAACAAGGATTGCATGAGTTTTTCTGCTGAAGATTGGTGGTTCTCTCCGGGTATTAGTTCCATCTTCCTCCACCAACCATAGACTGACTGCCATATATAGCCAAGGTTGCTGAAAGTGGCCAACAACTATAGTTTTGTATTCATGGAGGGAAATGAAAAAAAGTCATATTTCATTTGGATTAATTTCCGCAATAATTTTGTTCCTAATTAAATATGTATACTGAATTGATTGATTAGTTGATGTTTGCTCAACATCCAGTGGCAAATATTTCATGCATGTTGAGGACAAATGCTGAATTTAATCTGAATGGGGAAAATGTCTTTTTGTTTTAAGTCATATAACGTAGAAGCTGGAAGAATATCATGTTGGCTGAATGTTGTGCGACATTAAGTCGAAACATTTAATAAGCAGCATATACTCATATATTTGTGGCTTGTGGCACTTTTTATGCCATGAAATAAGTATTGTTTGCACAGAATGACAAAAACTTTAGTACATTATGAAAAATGAAAATTATGTCATATCAATTAACACCTTGGATTTATAAATATTGGTCCCAGATTACACCAAATAAGCTGAAATTATCCCAACATTATGAATTGTTCGACCATACACAAGACAAGTAGAGCTAAAATATTTTCTACGAAGCATTACGTATTTATGTGATTTTGAATTCAAATCAGAATAATATGATTTTTTTACTTTTATGAAAACTTCTTTTGCCAAACAAAAAATATGATGAATATTGAAAACCATGTAAAGTTGAATATGGAGTTGCATATAAAAACTTAAGATTTTTTCTTTAGAATTTTCTTGGTTCATTGGTTTACATAAAGTAAGATGAACTTATATGAAAAGATTTTCACAACATTTGAATTATTCATACGTGTTTGACCTCTTTTTTTTCATACAGCAATATTGCAACGTTCAGTCAAAATTCCAAATTTTTGACTAAAAAGGGGGTTTTAATATTAAGTAGAATAAGTATAAGACTATCCATCCTGCCTGGGATTTAGCTGCAGAAAAGAAGTTAATAATCTCACCAAATTCTAAATCCCATGTCTCTTGAAGGGCAAATTCCATACACTCTGCACGTTAAAGAACAGCTGCAACAACACTGATGGGTTACTTAGATATAAAAGTTTTCTACACAAATTGAGGTCTATATTTATGCCGCTCCAGTCATGCTTCAGTGATTCCCTATATAATCAACCAAATTTTTCCCACGAAAGGGGGGGGGGGGGGGGCGGGCCCCCAGGCCCCCCCCTTGGATCCGCCTATGATTGCAATGAAGATTTTTTCCTGCCTGTCAATCCGTTCATCTGTATGTCCGTCTGTCTGTCCGTCCGTCGGTTCTTTTTTTTCAAGATGCTCAGTTGGCTCGAATTTTTATATCAGAATGAGATTGCAACCTTACTGGGATATATGTCGCATGTAATGAGATGAAGTTCCTCATTGATTTTTTAGTTCACCATGTCAAAGGTCAAGATCATAGTTACTTATAAAAGAAGAAAGTGTCTGAGGACACGAATGCCCCTGCTCAAGCGTTGCAATTTAAAAATGGGACGGACGGAAGTACGGGCGGAAAGACAGACTGACGGACGGTCAAGGGTTACACTTAATGCCTCCTCGCCTAGCGACAGGGGCATAAATATAGACCTCAATTTGTGTAGAAAACTTTTATATCGAAGTAAGGTTTCAATCCAATATGTAATATCTGAAAACCAGATATTACATATTGGATTGAAACCTTACTTAGACATAATTATGGTCATTCTTAATGAGCGGAAGATCTCTATTGATTTTTGAGAAAGTTACTATAATCCGAGCTAATGCTTACTATTAAAGGTCCTTTTATTGCCAATTTGTTTTAGTCCTGAATATGCATGAAACATTTTCCACGTACTGGAATTAATCGATAGTTATGAAAAATGTATATTTGAATTTCAGGGGCGGATCCAGGATTTTGGAAAGAGGGGGCGTAGTATGTAAAATTCGCCGAGCGGATCGAGGCTAAAATGTTTTTGGACCTTTTTTGGGCTACAAAACATAAAATAAGTGTAAAATGCACATTTTTAGTGACGGTTCCTAACGTGGGGTATGTGTATTTTATAGTTAAAGTGTAAGCTTGGGTTGGACATTTTTGATGTCGCATTCTCCCCATTAGTTGTCTATTATAAAATGATTGAATGGATCTAAAGCTATGTACTAATATATTTGATGTGGGATTTGTCAGTAAAAAATGGACATTGAAAATTCAAAAGCTCGTTTGTTGTATAGTTAGTTAGCATAACCTCACAGATTACTTATTGTAAACATGATATACGGCTATTCAATGAAGTTTATAATACGACCGACACGAACAAAGACAAACAAGCAATTTTTATCCAAATGTTTGGTTGAAATGTTTCACTCAACAAGGGAAGTCAGGGGTTCCAAATCACTGTGAACCAACGGCTACGAATGAGTCTGAAAATCAAATGGCAACGAAGTTGTGAATGACGGTCGACAAATGAAGACATAAAGGCCACACCCAGCAGGCAGTTTGCAGTTGGGCCTTGAAAAAAGTATTCAGTATATCAGTTCGGCGAAACAGACATTCCGGTCAGAT